TAGCAATACTTTTGCGGAGAAGCCTACGTAAGTTCGTGGGCACTTGGGAGGCCGTCAACCAGCGCATCATCAAAATGAACCTTAACCTGTACGGACATAAGATCACGCTGCTCGGAGTATACGGTGTAAATGATGATGCCACTGTCGCATGTAAGGACCAATTCTTCGAAGATCTGAATGATGAAATACTGAACGTTGGTGCTGGCAGGGAAGCCATTCTTATGGGTGATTTGAACAGCAGAACGGGACGACGAGTAAACTGTAAAGTTGTTGGACCGTTTGGGGAGGATGCTGTTAATGATAACGGTGATCGGCTCATCTCAATTTGTTCTCAAACTGAGATGAAAATTTTGAATGGCTTTTTTCAACACAAAGACATCCATAAGTATACCTGGGTCCAGCCAACGCGAGGATTGAAATCCATCATCGATTATGTAATTGTAAAGCACACTACTAAGTTGAAATTGCAGCAAGTTAGAGTGTGCAGGGGACTCTCTTGCGGCAGTGATCATCATTTCCTCCGAGCAGATATAGCGTTTCCCGTTAAAGGGATTAAAGATAAAGAGCCAATGCCTGAGCAACAGCAGAGTCAGGGAACGCAAAATCATGAAGTATGGTATAACATCGAAAGTTTGGAGCACCCTAGTGTCAAGGCTCTGTATCGGAAACGCTTAGATGAGAAGCTGGGGGATGGACTCTCGGGTACCACGGAAGAGCAATATCAGTTCATCAAAGATTGTATCCACTCTGCAGCGAAAGAAGCCCTAGGTGTTCACAAAACCAGTAATAAATACCAGCATCCTTACTGGTGGGATGAAGAAATTGAAGACGAGATAAATCTTAAGAGGCAAAAACACCTTATATTTCTGTCGTCTAAAAAGACTGAAGATAAAGTTGCTTACAGGAAAGCTCAGTCTAAAGTTAGGAGCCTCATAACACGGAAGAAGAATGAAGCTTGGGAAAGCAACTGTTCTAGAATTAACACCTACCTAGGGGGGAGAAAAAGTGCTGAGAGCTGGAAGTTAATTAAAGGTTTACGTAGAGACATGAAGCGCGACATCGTTTCTCCGATATCACTTAAAAAACTGGAGGATCATTTTAAAGATCTTTTGACGGAAAGGCGCCCAGAGTTTCGCGACAACAGCACGGACAACGGAAGAATGAACAACTTGGAGATCCACACTTGTGACATAATTAAAGCGGTTAAAGAGCTAATTAATGACAAAGCACCGGGTCCTGGTGGGATTCCTGTCGAGTTGGTCAAGTACGGGACTGCCAAGCTCTTTGAGTGCCTCAGAAAACTGATGCAACAATGCATCAGGGGTGACGAGGTACCAAGGGAGTGGAAGGAGTCTTGGATCAAGGCCATCTACAAAAAGAAGGGAAGGAAGGACGACTGTAACAACTACCGGGGGCTCTCAGTGACCGGGACAATAAGCAAAGTGTACGGGAAGATACTGAAAGCGAAGATCGAGGACGAATGGCAGGATCACGAAGCAGAGGAGCAGGCTGGTTTTAGAGCTGGCAGGTCTACGATAGATCACCTCTTTGTTATTGTCCAGGTCATTGAGAAGAAAATGGCCGTAGCTCAGGAACTGCATTTAATTTTTGTGGATCTCCAGAAGGCGTATGACAGCGTGCCGTTGGTGAAACTTTGGGAGGCCTTGGAAAAATCGAATTTTAACGGGGGGTTGATTGACGCTGTTAAGCGATTTTATAAAGGGAGTTTTACCAAAGTTAAGTGCCATGGGGGGTTGTCAGCGGGATTTTATGTGACTAAGGGTTTAAAACAGGGATGTTGTTTGTCGCCAACATTATTTAAAATTTATCTCGAGTGCGTGCTAAAAGAATGGAAAAAGAAATGCTCCGGTATGGGTGTCCCCTTGGGTGATCTCGAAACTTTGTTTACTCTGTGCTTTGCTGATGACCAGGTGGTGGTTGCTCAAGATCAAGATGACGCGGAATACATGATGCGCAAGCTAGTAGAAGAGTATCGGAAGTGGGGTCTGGAAGTCAGCATATCCAAATCTGAGAAGATGACTTTTGGCGGTGATCAGCAAAGCATTGAGTTGGAGGATGGGCAGCAGATCAAAGGCTGCGAGCACTTTAAGTACTTGGGAGTGCGGTTGACCCAGGATGGAAGGACGGATCAAGCTATCAGGGAAAGGAACACCTTAGCAAGGAAGGCTATAGCGATGTTAAATGGAATCCTCTGGGATCAGCGGATTTCCAAAGATAACAAGAGGAGGATATACAACGCTGTAGTCAAAAGTATATTAACATACGGATGTGAAGTTTGGCAGCTGAAGAAACGGACACAGGATATGCTAAGAGCAACGGAGATGGATTTCTGGAGAAGGTCAGCAGGAATTTCTAGGAGAGATCGGGTCCGTAATGATAGAGTGCGTCAGATAATGGAAGTCGAAAATGACATCGTGTTCGACGTCATGACCAAACAACTTGTTTGGTATGGTCATGTCAATAGGATGACGGAAGAGAGGCTGCCAAAAAAGATGCTTGATTGGGTTCCTCCTGGGAGGAGACGTAGGGGACGCCCAGTGAGAGGTTGGCGACAGGGGGTGTTAAATGAGATAAGAGATTGTCAACTCCCTGATGACCTGTGGGAAGACCGAGCTTTGTGGCGAATAGGCGTCGCACAGCGCCAAAGAGCGCTATAAAAGCGACTCATATATATATATATTCATCGTAGAAAGTTGCTATTTGAACAGATCTTCTTATTTTTAGCCAATCTATAAGAATCAAGCATCAAAACACGATTCTGTTCCCAGCGCAACTAGCCCATTAGTTGTTAGTTTTGTTACTGACCATAAAAGAAATAAAGAAGAGAAGAAACGATGACAGATGACATTTGGGATGTGTACTTAGTAAAGAATAGGAAAAATTAATGGGTAGGTAAAAGAAGAAGTTAAGAAGGCTAAAGTTAAAGAAAGGAACTTCAGTTCGTGCTTCAATCTGCCTACAGGAAGGAAATAGTAGAATTTAGTGAGAGGAGGCTACTTATAGGTGAGAAGAGGGAGACGGATGAGTCTTACTTACAGTAAAGTACCTACAAAAAGTCAAGTTAACTAAGTGTTCCCCCAAAGTGTTCCTGAGGTACATATGGAAGCAAAGTCTAGTTACAGTAGTCAGACTCTCAAGGAACTATTGGATCTCTCTCAAAAATCCAGCAGAGCTTACCAAATATCTGATTACGATTAAAATGCATCCAACATCTGAGTACAGGTTATACAATTTTTACAGGACGAAATTTTCTAATCCNGGGGGGGGGGGGGGGGGGGGCGCGCAGACCCACCCTGACGCCGGAGTGCTACATTCATAAGAGAACATTTTCTCTGAGATCACTTAACAGGGGCATGAATGTTTGCTCTCTCTCTTTCATTTATCCTTCTTCTCTCTTCAATTTCCTCTGTTGGGCCCTTGTCAATAAAAGAGGATACTTAAACTAAGTAGCTGAAAAAAGTAAAAATTTCCACAGGTGATCTATGTATGCATCCGAGTGGGACTTCTTTAATATCCAATTGTACAAGAGAAAATTTAAAAAGACAATAATTTTAGAAATGACGGTCGATTTAGAGCCATTCAGCGGAGACAAGAAAACCTCTGTACACTCAAAACTTGTTCATTCTAAGATAACTTTGAAGCTATTAGGAGGCACATGAAAATCTCAATTGCCTAGAAAATTAAGTTGGAACTTTCCTCAATCAAAATACAAACTGACTCTGAGTGAACTAATAGAGGGTGGGAAGGGAGGGAGGATGAGGATTCAAGAGACAAAGATTTTTAAATCAAGGACAACTGTATCAAGAATATGAATCTTAGAAAATACAGCCGGAGTTTATAATTCGGCTAGGTACAATAGAGCTCATCTTGTTATGTACTTGCAACTGTTCCATTACCTCATCTGCTTCTGAATGAGCTGAATGAAACAAGAATCCTAATACTAGAAGCTGTCAACAAGGCACAGTCCAAGGGGCAAGGAATAAAATGAACTTTTAAGGGAAATCAGGGGGCACATACTTGTAATAATTGTAAAAGCAGGCTTCTGCTTTCATAGAGACACCAATGATCTACACTGGTAACTTTCTAGACAACATGGTTGCAGAATTGTTGTTCTCTACTTACTTTTCATTTTGGGGTAAAACACAAGTTCCCTCTGCCCTTCGATGTTCACACCTGATGTAGGGAGTACAGTAAGGAAATAAGTTCGAGAATGTATTCCAAGAGAATATTTTTCTTGAGAACAAGAGGATTGTCAAGATTATTCTGGGGACGACAGAATATTAGTGAAGAATTGAAAATATTATTATTTCGTGGAACTTCATTGTACACTTAGGTACTCAGATGTGCTAAATTCATGTTGAACAAGGCAAGTACGGAACACAATAACCATAATAAAATACATAGGGTGACTCACCCCAATTCAAAATCTAGTCGAAGTGGGAATTTTAAGCCAAATAAAAGATAATAGCCGTGCGCGTGAGCCTAAAGAGAAACATTTTAAGATCGAAAAATTGGCTAAATTCAGAGAAATGAAAACCGGATCTATCTTGGGAAAAAAAACTTAAGTAGATCTGCTACAGCTGACAGTTTCTGTGTCAAATGGAAGGATTTTTTTCCAAAGTGGATCCTGCTCTCCTTTCTCAGATTTTCTTCAAAATCTAAGGTCTAGAGTGATGCACAGGGCTAGCGTCTTATAATGGACTACAAATATAAAATCTGCAGAGATTTGATTCGTATCAAGTACGATGAAACGCAAACCAAAAACAGTAATGAATCACCTTAATGACAAGTCAGAAGCAATAAGATCGCTGGAGTGAAATTTACCATCAGTAAATTGATGTAGAGTAGATGTTGAAAACCTGAAAGATTGTTCCTATAAAATTAAAGTGTTGCCAGACTCTGACAAGTAATAGAGTTACAATTTCAATGATAAACACCTTATCTGGGCAAAATCTAGTGAGAAAATAGATACTTCAAACCTCAATCCAGAACTGGCAGCGGCAGTGAGAAGTTTTGACCAGATATCAGACATCCTCTTTGCAGAAATGAAAACACTCAATCAATTAAATCATATGACTGGAATTGAGCAGGAGCCAGGAACCACGTGAACGCACTGAGGACGGAATGATGAAGTTAACAATTTAGAAAAAGAATACACGCACACAAATGTCGAATACCGCGACATGAGTTCGTCAAACAATTCGCACAAAATTGCTCACACGTATCCGAAAACCGCACTAGTGAATCGGCTATTCGCACTTTGAAACGTACGATGAAAATCTATGGAATATCAAGTACATATTCTCTCAAGAACTTTCGACACCAGAAGTCAGAGCTCGGGGCTCACGAGGCCACGATCACAGAACACATAGCCACGATTTTACAAGTTAGCGCGGGCGATATTTACACGACTGTTTTCAAATAAACCGAGGAGTGTTCGCGAGACACGATGATAATGCGATAATTGGCGTTCACACTGTTTATCAAAGACGAAAATCTATAGAATATCAATGTCATACAGATCACTCAAGGGCAGGACAGGACTCGGTACCCACGAGGTACGCCTCAACAGGTTCTGAACAATGGCCGACTCCTTGCACTTGCCGGGGACGAGATTCCGATTCAAATATTCACGAATGTTCAAGTACACCGAGGATTTTACGCGAGGCACGACAATGAGGACACACTTTTAGAGAATATTGCGCTGGAAAACTTGAAACTTGCCTAGGAGATGGCCATGGATGCTCAGTTCCGAATTGCCGCGTGAGTGAAGACAACAGTGGGAGACGTCCGGTTGAAAAGTGAAAATGCTAATTGCCCTGAGCCTGAGCCTGCGGGATGCGTCCGCCCCCCGCTGGGTGCAAGTGGCATGATCCATCAACAGATTCGCACTCTCTGATTGGCTGATTTAGCGAGGCGAGATTCCGATTCAAATATTCACGAATACACCGAGGATTTTACGCGAGGCACGACAATGAGGACACACTGTTGAAAAATATTGCGCTGGAAAGCTTGAAACTTGCCTAGGAGATGGCCATGGATGGTCAGTTCTGAATTGCCGCGTGAGTGAAGACAACAGTGGGAGACGTCCGGTTGAAAAGTGAAAATACGAAAATTGCCCTGAGTCTGAGCCTGAGGGATGCGTCCGCCCCCCGCTGGGTGCAAGTGGCATGATCCATTAACAGATTCGCACTCTCTGATTGGCTGATTTAGCGCGCGCAAGGTGTCAACAGACAGAGACATGTTTTGATCTGTTGGCGTCGCACATTGGATCGAGTGAATTAGAGGGGTCGGACATGAAATTTTTGACTAACACTGCAACTTTTGATGTTTGTTTCGTCACATTTTAAATTTCAAGGGGTGCTAATGGAAGAAATTTTCACGAGGATACCAATGGAGCCACTTTTAGTACTTCAAAATTTTGTATAAACAGAGTTATCATAAGCGTTTCAAGTTATGAAATTTTGTCCGACCTCTCCTATTGACTCAATCCACTGTGCGTCGGTCTGTTGGAATTTCCGTCACCGCGTCTGAGGATTCTGCCGACTGTTAAGATATTTTCAGGCATAATGCGTGTTCACTTTCCTTCTCGTGTCTTCCCCCCTGAGGCCGGATGTTGTATTAATACTGAAACTTATCGCCTTTTGGCACTGACAGTTGTTTGAGAGCCATTTCAAGGTTTTAATGTTGACTCAAACATGAAAAAATTCAATTTTTCTGTAGGATATGCCTACCTACCTAGTGGCGTACGTTGGATAAGGTTGGGGGGGGGGGCAAACCTCCCACCGGGGGGAGGGGGGTCTGGAGGAAGGAATACCCCCAGGTGCAGCGGGGGGTCCGGGGGGCCTTCCCCGAAAAATTAGAAGGCTTCTGACCCCTTAAAACCCCACTTTTAAACAATGTTGAAAAATGAAAAATGATGAGAGGCTCTCCACTATTTTCGCGGAAAGAAACCTTAAAGAAATGGAAAATCGTACACCTACCTACAAGACCAAATTGAATGTTTAGTTTTGAAAACATCCACTTTACTTCCTGAAGAAAAAATGAGATAGGCAGACTCTCCAATTCCTTACATTCAAAAATTTTGATCAAATTATTATGGTACCAAAGTAAATTCTGATAATTATTTCTTAAAATGAAATGATTATCGCACAATCTGAGCAGCAAGTGATGTGAGTGCGCTATCTACTTGGAGCTAAACGCCTCAGGGTTAAAAAAAAAAAAAAAAGAAAGAAAAAGACGCGTTCCTCCAGACGAAAATATCGTCGTGATCTCTCTCCATCCGATTTTTCTTCCTTTCCCTTGATTTCTCTTTTTTCTCTCTCCTTTTTAGGGGCTCGGAGGGGGGGGGGGGGGGGGTTACGGACCCCAGCCTCTCCCCCTCCCCCGTAAATACGCCACTGTAGTCTGTACCTATAGGTCTGTATCTGTGCAAAATTGAGGCATTATTCGGTAAAAGAGCGCATGAGACTTCTAATGCTGCTGAAATTGTGCAACGTAGTTCTCTGTAGTTGTAAGTAACTTATCCGGCGCGCAGCTCTGCTATGAATTTTGAGTCTGCGCCGAAGAGGAGGGTCTGAGGGGCCTCTCCTGGAAAATTTTGAAAAATTAAACCTTCCCGAACAGAATTTTACGCAGGTTTAGCATACAATGTTCATCATTTGAAAGTTGAAAATTAACGGAAAATACCTCTTTCAGTGTAATTTCATTCATCAATCAAAAAAATCGGCGGCTCATGAAATATCCAGTCAAAATTTTCTTACAGGGGGTATGGACGGAACCGTATCTTTTTGCAAAAGGAAATATTTGTTTAATAAAGGCAGAAATGTCATCGCTTTCCTCTACCCATGATTGTCCTTTAGGTACTCAATACGAGGTTGCCATACTCCATCACTTCCTCCTTCATCCGAAACCCTTCAAAGCTTGTTCATTAGCTGCGTCACGCTTCAAGAGTATAGGCTGATCCAAGAAGACGGACATCCCCCGAAAAGTTTCTGGGGGAGCTCCCGGTCCCCCCTTCCACCCCTCTCAAAGTGTCTGGATCCGCCTCTGTTAAAAGTAGGGGGGGGGGGAGCCCATGATCGACGTCATGTCAAAATTTTCGATAAGTCTGGTTCAAATATCAATAGGAAATGTCGAGTTTTTATGGTGAAGGGGGGGTATTTTAATAACGCCCCTGCGAGAATGAACTGCACATTGCAATAGATGCCAAGTTTTTTTCACAATTTGGCTTTGGAAACTTACGATGATACAAAAATGAGGAAAAAATTTCAAGCTGAGATTAGGCATGGTTTCTGAGTTATTAGGGGGGGGGAGGCAAAATGCCATCCAATTTTTAGCCGTATGTTTGTCCAATATATCGTCGCTCGGCTGACAACTACACATTAAGATGAGCCCGGAAAAGCATTGACTTGTATGGAAGACAGGGTTCATTGTAGAGTGTAGTATAACGTCCTTATGTCAGGTAGGCGACGGTATGTCACCACAGGGCTCCAATTCATGATTATACATCTATGCAGGGCCGGATTAGCGCCCAAGGGCCCAGGGCAGGATGCTGCCGATCGTTAGGGAGCGGCCCCAAAATCTTAAAATTCACGGGCCCGCGGCAGTCAATATTCCAAGCTTAGGGTCTCTCTATATCGCTCTTCTAGGATCCGTAATATATAAAAACCGTCTAGGGGGTCTGTGGGGCCGGGAGCCCGGGGTCCTACAGCACCTCTGCATCCAGGTTAATCCGGCCCTAAATGGATGGTTCTTTAGATTTTAAATAAATTATTTTCGTTTCATAACGATTAAATGCACCCGACATGACTAAAAAATTATACAACTCCTACGCATAGGTACCTACAAGTAATTTTATTTTGAAAAGTAACAGCATTTCTGCCACATCCAGAATCTTGCCCTCTCCATTTTGTTTAGATCAAGCCTTTTACCGCACCTTCCCCTCTTATGTTCAGAGGTAGTTCACCCTTAGGATGTTAGGACATCGATTCAGTCGTCCGTTATATTTCATTGCTTTATAGAATTAGTACAAAATTCTAGCACATGCAGAATCTCCCCCCCCCCATTTTATGACTACCATGACTTTTACTACCCCTTTCTTACAGTTTCAGGGGGTGATTAACGGAGGATATGGATTCGATCGAAAAATGGGAACGTGAATCGATCGACACCGATTCGTTCGACAAATTATTAAAAAACCAGTGTCGATTCGATCGGCATAAATCGATTGAAAAACAAAAGTGTGAATTGATCAACACTGATTCGATCGACAGTTAAGGTGATTCGTCAAGCTCAAAAGAAGTGGTCGAACTGGCATGCGATATATCGCATCTTTTAGGTCAAAAATCTCGGCAGATTTTGAATTTTCAGTAAAGAAAAGGACGATAGCCCCTGCGCATGAGCCTAAAGAATCATTCTAAACCTTGAAATCGGCAAAATTCAGAGAAATGAAAGCAGGATAGTGTTTGGAAAAAAACCTCGCATTCGATTCAGCTATCGATTTCGGTATCGAATGCGAGGTTTTTTTTTCAAACACTATCCTGTTTTCATGGTCACCAGTTGATTCATGGTTGCCTAGGTTGCCTGGGGCTTGGCGGGAAGTTTGAAAGTAAGTGCAGAACTCGACTTTCATGGATCCAGTCGCACCCATTCGTCATCCCCCCTCCCCCCCCTTAGGGGTTTGAATTAATTCATCCCCCGAAAGTCGAAGCCTACCAGAGAGGAGGGTTACAAGCTTTCAGAGTAAAGAAATAAGACATCAACTCCGAAATAAATTAAAACAATTTCGATTCTCTTTGACCATGATATACTATTGAAATATATTTTTTTTAAATATTTGTAGGTTTCATCTATCAAATAGGTACATCAGAGCCTTGAGAGTAGATGGGAAATGTCAAGCCGTCGTTTGACGTATATAAAAAGACTCAAATCGATACATATTGCACCTCGCATTTTTAAAAAAAAATTTCGGTCTAAAATGGCACGAGGCCGTCAATTTTTCTAGCATTATGGGGGAGGGGGGAAAAGTTGACCAGAACCCGACATAATTTTAAGGGAGGATTCAACACTGCCTGGTATGTACCTAACAAAGAGGAGAGGGGCGGTCAAAAATGTAAGAAAAACAACCCCTGCCGTTGTGACCCATTTAGCACGCCTTGCAAAAATCTTGCATTAAGCTCGTAGAAAAAGTTCAACTTTATTGTGTAAAAAAAATCGCGATTAAATTTCGGAAATAATTGCAATAAATTTTCGCGATTTTGACAATGATTTTTTGTGGAGAAAATTGCAATTGTATTGTGTGAATGATTAGAGTAAAATTAGCTTGTTTGGTAGTGTTTGTTTTCCTGCATTTCTGGAAACTACAGAGTGCAAAGAGTTCACAGGAATTTTTCTCGATTCTTTTAAACAATATTAAGCCACAAAAAACGAGCTCAAAGTTTCGTTTGTTGAGCTCCCATTTCAACGCGCGTCGGCGGATCACCAAAAATGGCCGCCGCGGCCGCTGCCCGTCGGAAAATGGCCACATAACATTCGTGTTAACTCAGCAGCGTCCTTTAGCCCGCACAAGGACTGCACTCACTGCACTGCCATGCTAAGAAAGAACGCCGTATGAACATTCGAGAGTTGTCAAATTTCCTTCCCTAAAATGTTTATTTTGAGGAAATTTATGAATATTTTTGCCTGAAATTTTCAGGCACTTTGGGCGACATTGCGAACAAACTTATCTGAAAAATTGGAAGAAAACTATTCATGAGCTTACCAGGAAATTCGTGTTTTATCAAAAGAAATTAGGCAACGCCCGATGGCTCATACGGCG